GGAATATCATTATCTCTCACTACGATAAAATGATAAAAGCAATGTGGTTCAAAAATGGCTTGTAAGAAGTTAGGATTTTGTGTGCAATAACATATAACGAATAAATGTGTGTGTTGAAATGGGAGAACTGAACTTTTCATGTTCGATCAAAAGGAAAAAGGTTAGAAATAATTCCCGGGAATCTGAAAAGCATCTTCCAGAAGACTATTGGAATATCTGCAAAAGTGATTGATCTCCCGTTCAAGCGAAATCATGATAATAATCGTTCGAAAAGAAAACAGTTTTAAGCACAACGAGTGCACCTTCAAATAACCCACAGATCTCTCTATCGAGCAATCTTCTTCCCGTCCCGTCCCATATTCCTGTCTCCGTTTCTTCGATTGCATTATATCAACTCTTCTTCCTTTGTACACAAGGAACTAGCAGAGAGAGAGAAAGAAGATGGACTTATCTTTCCATTCTAACAAAGTTACTCGTACAGTCTAAAAAAAAGGAAGGAAATTTAAAGATGAAATTTAAATTTCACGATAGAACAACAAAGTATAATTTTTCTGATTGAAAAGAAGACTATCCTATGATGTATATCTATCTGCATAAACAAAAAAATTGTTTAAGAAAGAATATGATAAGGAGAATTTCAGATGATACTTATAATATAATACTTTTTCCTACTTTCAGGAATTAAACCTAATACCTTTCACAGTATTGGGATGGAGTGAAGGTTGTCGAACAGCGATTCACGTAGCTGCACGTGGAAAGCAATTTGTCAACAATATGATATTACTTTCTGCAGCTACTCGTATTGATTCACGTGCTGCACGTATTACTTATGGTATAAAATATTCCAATTTTTCATTCTTCTGTGTCAAAATTTTCTAAACCAGTCATAGCAATAATAATTATTTCTTTAAATGGAATAGAATAAATAACAATTAAATATTTTTATTTCTTTTTATTTCGATTCATATTCTTTTTATTTCGATTCATATTTTAAGTCTGAAAAAAAAGGTATAAAAGCAAAAGTTAGGTAGAAAATGTAAAATGATAGGTAAACAATTAATTAAATATAAATTTCAGGTATGCGTAACACAGATCAATGGTCACCGGATACTATGGAACTATTTTTGCCATATTATCCTGTAGAATTTGTAAAGAAACAATGGATGGATTTATGTCATGTAATTCAGCAGTAAGTAATTTGACTTGCTCAATAATATTAATCTTTTTTTTTCTGTGAAGCATTCATTAAGTATTACTAATTAAAAATTAACATTTACAAATTATCGATTATCTGGTTATTCAGAAATCATAAGAAAATGCTCCGAATTTTCGTAAATTTCCTGTTTGTTCGATAAAGTTTGTTTAAAAAAAATGAATAAATTGGATGAAGAAACACTAAAATATAAACTTATTTATTCAAGGCTGAATTAAAAAATAAAAACTAAGCATAAGAACAACATCTTATTAATATAAAATTTTTTGGAATTTCTAGAGTTTATGAATTGCTTGGTGGTCGTTTTCCATCAGATCACATATTGCCAACCTTAAAAATTCCCGTACTAATTCTAAATGGTGGCATGGATAAATTTTGCAATGATCCGAAATATTTTGCAAATGTTATTCCCAATTGCAAGTATATTTCTTTCCTATCATACCATTTAAAAATTTAGTTGATCATTTTCATTCCTAATTTTTTGCAATGAAATATTTCATGCACTGTGGCAATAATTGAATACTTTAAGTACCGAGTGCAAGTATCTGTGTTTAATTAGGTATGAAGCATTGTTTTTCATTTAAGTACTAAGTATTTAAGCAGTAAATTTAATCATTTTTCAGACTTGATAGTCATTTTCTTGGTGGCCATGATTTTCACATCACATATCCACGATGGTTCGCAGAACGTGTTTTGACATTCCTTACAGATTCCGGAAATTTCCGTCCGTTACATTGATGCGAATGCAATTGATTTTTGTTTACATTTACATTCAAACATGAAAAATGGAATAAAATGCATTTTCTTACAATTTTAATGTTTTGTTGAAGTTTTCTTTCGTAATTTTTACTTATTATTTGACTTATTTTTGATTGAGAAAGAAAGCACAAATTTTAATGATTAACTTTGTGGGACAACAACTCTATCAGAATATTAGCGTAGCTGATATTCGCATGGAAAATTCCAATTTTTGAACAAATTCTAAACTTTTATCAGTCTTATAATGGCATTTTTTCTGATTTGTGATTGTATTCTGATGACGATGAATTGTTGACTGATATGTTATGATTTCATATCAGTTACATTGTAGTATGATAGGTACCTATAATAGATCCTTCTGTGACAAATTATTTTTCTTTGAAATCACTTATACTTTTGTGGATCCTAAAAACCAATTATAATCAGTACAGCATTTCGTCAAGTTAACATAAATAAATTTTACTGCTCCAACTTTGAACGAATTGAAATATTTAAAATTGAAAACTACCGTATACGGCAGTAGTGAAAGAAATATACCGTATGAAATTTTAGCATAAATCGTTAGTTAAAACTACTACTGCCACAAAAAAAAAACCAGACCTTTTGGGTAAATGAACAAGCCCGGAAAAAAGAAACAGTTTAACAACTTGCGTGTAATTGCTTTCCGCAAATGTGTGAAAAACTAAGAAAAAAATGCATGAAATTGAGAAATTAAAAGACTTAAAACTTAATTCGTAAATGTTAATTAAATAGTTGCAGCCTTGTTTCACTTTCTGTTGAGGACATTGATATTGAAGATGATGTTGCATAAGTTTCAGGGCGAGCGTATTCACTGATATAATTAGATGATTAGAATTGCAAGCATTTAGATGGATTAGAGAAAATAATATTATCATAGAGAATTTTGGGCATCCTCAAAAGCCTCTATATAAATAATAAAGTTTGGAAAGAATAATGTCAACAATTTGGAACCAGTACTATTAATAACTGTTTGAAAAGAAAAATTCTTGAAATTTCGAGATTAGATAAGTCATAGATGAGCTAAAATTCAATTTCTAAAATAATTGCTACTTATTTTATGCTTTAAACACTACTGTAGATGTATTTTGATGAATTCAAACCAAAAGGCTTTATTTCTTGATTTCAATCTTCGATTGCAAGAACTGATATTTTAGGATGTTACGAGCTCGTCTATTGCAAAAGAAGTGAACAGTAGGTAATGCAGCGTAAAAGAAAATGATATAGCAGTTGATGAAAATTCCTAAAGGAATGTTAGCTCCTTTGCCAAATATTTTGATTACAATCGGTGGTAAAAAATAAAAAATAATAGGTCGAATTTCTAAAACACCACAAGTTAATGCTGCTTGAATTAACATTGATCTTTCGTAAACACCATTTCTTGCTTTATTCACTCTACGTTTGATGGAAACTGCCGTGTTATCTAAATAAAGTAGGGTGATTTAAATGGAAAATAAAAAATAAATGAATAACTGAAAATTTGTGAGGAAATAAGAGGAATTTCTTCCAAATTTTGAAAGTTTTTGAAAGTTTTTAAAAAAAAAACTTTTTTTCTGAGAGGATTTCTTCTTTTTTCTTTGACAACGGAACAATTAATAGATTCACATAAAATATATTAGTTCATTATATACGAAGTAATAATACTGTAGTACTAACCTTGATTGTTCAGAATATCTAGAGCAAAATAACGTATACGACGTATACTGCAGAATATAATAATGTACATAACAAACATTGCAATGGGCAAAAATAATAACCACAGATAGTGAATACTGAAAAACAATGAATGACATCTAATAACTGTTGAATTTTATAATAGTTAAATGTAACGATGCAAAGATATTTACTATTGTAATTAGGGTAGCATTAAACTGTTCACGATATCATTAAGAATCAGTTGATATTTTTGGAATAATACGGATGTAAAAGATTTAGTTTAAAGTTTTGTGGATAATTGGTTTGAATTTTAACATTTATTGAAGTTGAAGGAATGAAATAGCATTCAAAGGTCACCTCATAAAAATTGTATTTGGCTGTTTTGTGCAAACTCTTATCCAGGATAAATTTGAAACGCGGAAGCTTCTGATACAATAATAAAAGTCGACAGTTGAATTTACTGAAAATTTTAGTTTTAATGCATATAATAATGATTGGATGATGAATTCAACAGTATGCATTTCATTACGGCAATGAAGTGGCGGAATTCTAGTATGAAGTTTTTCTTACCCAATGAAATTACGGATATTTCAAGAGTAATGCTCACAATTTTCCTAGAATTTAATAACAGTTACTGTAGCACAATGGCGGTATTATCAGAAAGAATTGTTTTAGTTGTTGTTCCAGAGAATTAATAAATCATACCTAAAGTTGACAACCACACGAAAATGATCACGAAATACAGCCACGCTGATTTGAAAAGTGCACTGTATTTTGGCAAAATTAGCACAACAAAACGATTAAGTGTCACCAGAAATGAAAAATGGAGTATTGCAAAAAGTGAGAAGTTATTAAAAGCTGAGAATGTTTGGTTAATCCATATTGTTTGCTCTGCTGCAATATAAGCAATTTAATTAAAAAAATTTCCAAGTGTTGTAATGGAATTGTAATTGAATAATAATTGTAATGGTAAATTATGATAAAATGGTAAATGCGATATAATGGTAAATAACAACTGCAATAAAATAATGTAATGGAATTAGTCTGGTCTTACACAATACAAAGCAACATTTAGTGGAAGCTGCGCACTTCATTTGAGAAAGTTGATATTTCATAGAAATTAACACAATATTTTTTGTCTTCTGCATTATTTGATACTGATGAACCTTGAATGTTTTTAGTACTATTTACATAACAAAGAAATAAATCAAATAGAGTAGGCTCACCTCCTTTGAACAAGATTGTCAAGGTTGGTTGCAAATAGTTGCAGATTACAGCGAAATCAGAAATCAGATATATTTACACAGCCTCATCAGTAATAAACCTTCTTAATGTCCTCTTCAAATGCTTTCTTGACACTACTTTCTGTTCCCTTTCTGTATAATTCTCAATGAATGAATGATACCTAATGAATTATAGCGAACGAATGATATCTAAAGTTTGTACATAAAACAACTCACCGTATAAACTGTTTTTAGCTTGTAACATTTCTGGCAGTACAACAATCACCTGTGGAAGGAAAGCGATGAAATTACAAATAATCAACTGTGATGCAATAAGAATAAATTCAAGATTGTAATGATTGTCCTGTCTGCGATAGAATACAATCGCCAGCAGTATGTTACTAATAATACCATAAAGCAAGAAAATAGTAAAGAGTAGAAATGCTACGTATTTTAGAGCCTTGTGATTCTCGTCTCTTATATCAGCCACATCCGTGGTGTTTCTTTCTTGACAAGTTAAGGGTATTGACAGAAATAATACAATAATATAATAAGAACAAGCCAACATTTTGTTAATAGCCAAGTGCTGTTTCTATCACAAATTTCAATGAGTTTAGAAGAAATTCAACCTCACTGAAATAAACTGCCAAAAATTGCAAAATCGAATTCCAAAATAGTAAATGTCAGCGATGATGAGAGTGTATTGCTGCTATCCAAGAAACATTTATTACTGACTGCAACATGAAATTTTTAATTCTTTTGCAACTGTCATGAAAACTGCTAATAATGTTATAATTGTCGTCATTGCTTTTATCGATGATATCAAATAATTAGACTCTCTTTTCTAAGCTCAGTTTGAAAATTATAAATTGAATTCATAACTCAGTTAACTTAAATTGTATGACAAATTACATCCCTTGTTACGCAGATCTCTCGAAAACAATTAACCAATACAGCGATATAAAGCAAAAT